ATATGACGGGTAATCCAACACCATATGCTTCGAGCCTTTCCCCATGGTGAATAATTTCCCAATTATACAATAAGTTCTAGAATTAGTATGATGTTTTTATATCATACCAACGTCGCTGGGACCAAATTGATCGGTCTCTATTGACATATGGACTTCTGTGCGGATGCCTCGATATCGCCTGCGTTCTAATTCTATTAATGATGGATCGTGGCTAGCAGTGGAATCCAGGATGAGCATTTTGTCCTGTTTGGGACTCGTCAGCTGGGTGTACCTGCCTCCCGATGAGTAATATTATGGGGACAATATCATTCACTGGGAGGCAGGTACATCCAGCTGACGAGTCCCAACTAGGACGAAATGCACATCCTGGATTCAACTCCTAGCCACTATCCATCATTACTAGATGAATGAAGAGTTATGAAATGACTAAACTTTTGTCACCATTGCCTCATCCGTTCTAAGCAACTACTGCACATCTATTCCCCGCCACTATTTAGTAAAATGACAAACAGTTATGCTGTATGCGATTAAATGCATCATCGAGGAATGATTGTTTACATGAAAAGGTGATGAGAGAAAAATTTCAACTGTTTATCACCTACAGAAAAATGCTTTCGAAATTATAGAACGGAAGTTTGTTCAGGTTAGTATATACATGAATTCAAACAACCACTGAATCTCGTTCGATTAGACCTTCTGAAAATATGATCATACATCAGCATTGTTAACATCTCTTATTTTAGTATATTCTTTAAAAAAAATAGCTGGTTGAAAAGTTTGTTGATGAATTAGAAGCATATCTGTTCAGTCGTATGGAAAAATGACCGAATTCCCATGAGTGGATCTCTGGATATGGTTAATTTTAAATGACACATAAGTCTTATCTCAGACGAAGCGAATTGGGACTTTTGTGGTTCATCACAGATCATATGATTAATAAAAAGGTTCGCTATGAATCTTTCTTCATAACGGTTTAACATACCATTCCTTTGAGAAGTATACCTAAACTTTTCTTTCGTTAACAGCTGACCACTTATGCAACGGTCTAAACTTAGTAACAAACTTTTTTGTAAATAGTGGTAACTAATTGACTTCAATGTTGTTTAAATAATTTCATGAAAACATGAGTGTAGAAACTTGAGCATTGTGGTAGAATTTAATTCTATATTCGATTTGTCTGTTTGATTCATAGTACATAGTGTAATGCAGTATTATTTACTAAATAACGTCTTCAGCATAAATTGCCATTGCTCATAATCATATCAGTGTGTTATCTCCCACATCGATTTCCACAAGTTATTTTTATAGTCATGTCACTTCATATTTTTTTTGTCTTTATTAGTAGTAACATTTACTATATCTCCGGTATATGTACTGATTCGATGAACAAAGATTCAGTAATCAATCTCTTTCTCCACCTAATTATATTTGACTGAAGTACGGCGGTTTTCTCCCACCCTACTTTATATGGTTGTGTGTTAATGCATGCATTGCAATAACCAATTCTCCTTCTGGATTATTGATCTTATTGGGGTCTGTTATCCTATATTTAGCTAAATTCCTATGTTCCGCTAATTTAACTGACCCCGACCATCTAGTTTTACCTATGTACTTGACCTCACTCATAGTGATTACATGGACTTTGATAGATTAGATGATTTTGCTTAATTGGTTCTGTCGTATTCTTAAGCCAGACGACAAAGTTTATCTCTGAGTGAGTTGGTAGGCCTAAATGGTACTCTAATTCCGGCTTTGTTGAGGATTCTACGTAAAGTTTTTGATGTACCTTTCTTACATTCAAATATCCAAATGATGGAGCTAGAAAACTGACTAGCCAATGCAACAAACTAAACGATGAACTAAAACACGTAAAATAAGCAGTAATCGTTAATAATTATCCTCTACAGTTTATTAAGAAATTCATACGAATACACAAGAAACGAAATAATAACAGTAACACGAGTATGAATAGTAATGACAATACAAGTAGAAAGGAGTTCACATTCTCCATTATGTTACCCTATAAGGAAAGTACATCAGAACCTTCACGTACGATCGTCAACAAGGCTGGAATTAGGGTGGCATTTAAACCTGCAAACTCACTCAGAGATGAGCTTCGTCGACTGGTTTAAGGATACGACAGGACCAATTAAACAAAATAATGGAATCTATCAAATTCTATGTAATGATTATGATGTCAAGTACATTGATCAAACTAGGCGGTTGGGGTCAGTTAGATTAGTAGAACGTAAGAATTTAGCTAAATATAGAATGACAGACCCCAATAAAATCAGTAACTCAGAAGGAGAATCGGTTATTGCAATGCATGCGTTAACAAACAATAGAATGGATGGGATAAAACCAACGTGCTTCAGTCCGATATAATTAGGTGCAGAGAGAGATTGATTACTGAATAGTTGTACATCGAATCAACCCCCCACCCACCCAACACATGTAACAGGTTACGCAACACCCACCCATACCAGAAATATGGAAATCTTTACCACCATTAAAAACAAAGAATATGGTGACAGAACTATAAAAATCAGATGTCGAAAGTGATTTGTGATTACACTGATATGAATATGAGCAATGACAACTGATGCTCAAAACGTCCTCATCCAGTTAACGATACTGTATTACATTGTGCGCTAAAAACTTATCTAATATGGAGATTCACGAAAACACAATTTAGCAGGATATGTCTAGAATCAAAATCTTTAATAAAGTACGGTGTAGTTTTCATTTCAAAATAATCTCAACGCCAGTAAAACTTTGCATTCTCCATGTATAAAGCCGCCTTTTAGTTATTATAGTTACAAGATTTGAATGTATTTTCGACACCAGAAAGAAAGTTGACAATTATCCCAACACTAGTATTAGGTGAATCATGTTTAAAAGAAACCCCGTGCTTAAAAAAGACGAGTAATAGAAGTGACAGATAAACATGCAGACTATATTTGTAACGAGAATGTAGTAGAGGTAGATGAGTGCGGAATTTCTTTTCGTCATTATCATAGTATGGTGCAATGTAACTGCTATATACCCCCTATTTTCGCATAGTCTGTGCCTACTGTTTTGCCCATCACCTTAAAATAACCTACATCACACCCTTACTACTTTTTCTCCCCTCTTCTCTCAAGGTTGAATTCCCATTGGTTGTTAACTAAATGCGGGTTGAATGTTGTCAAGGTCATTTATAAGTGTATATATTCATCACCGTTGTATCAAAATTATTCATAACAGTTATTTAAACTTTACGTTTAGGATAAAATGAAAATGTTACTTGAGGCAGCCTATTTCAGCCTCCTAGAAAACTTTGGAACGATCGTAAAGGCAACCGAATAAAGCAAACATTATATGTTACTGTCTTCGTCTTCTAAAAAACGCTTCTAGTTGATATAAGAGTAAAACTTAGGAACTGTACTAGATTGTAATTCCATTCTAGTCTGTTTATTAGAAATATCACACACAGTGAAGGGACTGTATCATTTACTGGATAACGTGCTATTCGGGCACAATTTATTGTCCATATTTATATCAGGTAACTAACTCCAAAACTTTGAGATAGAGTTTACATAGTCCTAATTTTCTCCCCTCCTTTGTAATGACAACGGTAGTAGAAGTTTCCACATATTTGGGACAGGTGCAGAATCATTTCTATTACTGAATGTATTTGGTGTTGATTCGATAAACAAAGATTCAGTTGGTTATCAATCTCTCTCTCCCTCCATCCGACTAAGTTAGTTCTCAACACTGTCACCCTATCCCACCCTACTGTGTGATTGTGTGTCATCGAATGCAGAGCTATAGCCAAGCTTTTCTTTAGATTTCTTATCTTATTATATTCTACTAATCTTGATTTAGCTAAGTTTTTCTGCTCTGTTATTCTAATCGACTTCGGTCGACTGCTTTGACCTATGTACTTGACCTCGCAATCATTGCAAGGAATCTGGTAGACCAGATTATTTTGTTTAATTGCATCGATAGGATCTTTTAACCTACAAAGCTTGTTTCTAAGTGAGTTTGTTGGTTAAATGTAACTCTAATTCCAGCCTTATTGAGAATTCTTCGTAATGTTTCTGAGGTGCCTTCTTTGTATGGTAACACAGTAGAAGCTTTGAATTCTCTCTCAACCCCGTCGCCATTATTACCACTAGTAGTGGGATTATTATTAATAACACATGTATTACTACTATTACTAATACTGCACATATTTTTCTTTCGATTTCTTATGAGTTTATTGATAAATTTAAACGGGTAATTATTGAGACGGAATGTAAGTCTTGATGTGTTTAATTTTGTCGTAGATTTTCTGACCTACTAGTAAGCTTTTACGCCTTATCACATAGGAATTTAACTAAGCCTACTTTAACTGAGATGGTGCTGTACGAACTCAGCTACGAGGTCAGACTGCTGACCAGATTTCTTTTAATTTCACTTCAATCACCATGGGTTTTGCCCGGCTATCATGTGAATCCATGATGCGTTACTACCGCTTGACAGTAGTATTCACATAGGCTGCCTAGCCGTAACCCAGTACCAATAAAACTAGTCCAGAAAACCAAAGCTACCTCACATAGTCAAAATGATAATCAATACGATGCTCTCCCACCCTAGTTCCCTTAGATTTGGAATTCAGATGACAAGTCCTGACTGGTGGACAGCCAGAGTGAGTATGATCAAGCTATAGTAACACGTCACGAATTCACATAGTAGTTGGATAAAACCTATGGTGAGGATTGATGAGATGAAATACAAAATCTGGTCAGCAGTTGGACCTTGTAGATCTGTCGTGGTCACTGGTTTGAATCCAGCCACAGTCCAAAACTTTCATTTCACCTTCAATCATCACCTAGTATAAATATTAGTCTACCAAACCATAGCTGCTATCTTAGATAGTCAAAATGATAATAGTTGTTACCAACAAAAGTTAAACAATGTACACAAACAACAAGAATCCAACTTAAAATAAGACAGAACAGTTGAATGTGAACTACTTTTTTTTAGCTTTGTTGTTATTTTTGTCCGGATTGAGATGTTTATTTCTGACTACAGTAATTATGAGATTTGTGTCCACATCATCGTCTATACCATGATTGCATAGTTTGTCCTGATTTGATTTTCTTTTGTAATTGTAAGATAGAATACATAAGTGCTTCAGCTGACGGTGGACAACCTGTAACGAAAAGATTTTCGAAGAGAATAAAATATTAAAACACAAAAGAAAATCAGGCATCGTGTATCTTTGATATGAAATAATCCCAACATTGTTTCACACGGTAGACTGATCCAATCATTAGAGATATCATACATAAATCCACTTTACCACAATCCTCTTCGTATAGTTCTGTAGTATAGGACTCCTAGGCGGTGCGCCCCTCATGACCTAGCCAGGGACTGGACTATATATGGTTGGAAAGACAGCACTACAATAAATTAGAAATTAAGATTTTTAGAAAGACAATACATCCTGACAGATACTTAGATTATCAGTCTGCACATCCTTTGACCAATAATGTAACAGTCACATGGAATCTGATTAACAGGGCTAATCGTCTTGTTATAACGAAAGAGGATAAAGCGGAAAAGCGTTAAAGTCGGTTCGCAGGACAATGGAAGCAAATAATTATTCCAAAGATGTCGTGAAGACAATTTTTATACTAGGCGATGATTGAAGGTGAAATGAAAGTTTTGGACTGTGGCTGGATTCAAACCAGTGATCACGACTGATCTACAAGGTCCAACTGCTGACCAGATTTTGTATTTCATCTCATCAATCCTCACCATAGGTTTTATCCAACTACTATGTGAATTCGTGACGTGTTACTATAGCTTGATCATACTCACTCTGGCTGTCCACCAGTCAGGACTTGTCATCTGAATTCCAAATCTAAGGGAACTAGGGTGGGGGAGCATCGTATTGATTATCATTTTGACTATCTGAGTGGGACGACTGTAGTTTGACAGATTAATATTTATACTGGGTGATGATTGAAGCTGAAATGAAGTCTTCGACCGCGGTCGGTTGTAGCTCAGTTGGTAGAGGATTGGGCCGGAAACCTAGTGGTCGCTGGCTCGAATCTGGCTGTGGTCCAAATTTTCATTTCCCTTTCAATCATCACCAAACAGAATTAAAGATGTGCCAAAACTCCCTACGAAAAACTGAATAAACACAGTGATAATCCCATGTCGTATGGGAGCCTTGGAAGAAATAAGAAAGATTCTCAACAAATGTGACATAAGAGTTTACTTTCGTGCAACAAAAATACCCTACGTTCTAACTTAATGAAACTTAAGAATGTAGTAAGTAAAGAAAATCAACAGAACTGCGTTATGTAGGAAGATAGCCAAGAAGGTAAACGTGAGAGTGAAGGAGCATAAACTATGCTTAAAGTAGATACTGAGAACTACAGTAGAGGTTAAGAAACTAGAAAACAAATCGGTAATCGCGTTGAACTCCATAGAAATGGGTCACAAAGTTGATTTTGATGGAACCAAGGTTCTACAAAAAGGCTTTGGATCACACCAAAAAAGATTGACAGCTAAAGGCTCTAAATATATGGGCCAATACAGACAATTTGAATAGATGAGATAGAGTTAAGTTAGCTGCCTCTCTTGGCGATTACTAATTGGTAAACAGAAAGGGTCACCGATATCCAGACTAATTGCAGAAGCAGTGATGCAGAGACTGAAAGTCATCATTCTACCTGTGATTAAACTAAAACTTTGAATTAGCTATGTAGACGATACTTTTGTCATCATTAAAAAAACATGATATAGAAAACATTCACAGTTTGATCAACAACATTTTCAATGACATCAAATTCATAATGGACAAGGAGTCAAACAAGCAACTACCACTCCTGGATATTTAAGTTAGTAGAACAAATGCGCGAAGCAAACGCACACTGATCAAATCCTCAACTACAGTAACAATAAGCCAACAATGCATAAAATTAGTTGTGTGCAGACTCTATTCAAAACAGCGAGAACACACTGCAGCACTACAACTTGAAGGAGAAACGAAGAAAATTACTCGATATCCACACCCTCAAGAAGAACGGCTACCCACGAAACTTTATCCGTACATCAACTACAAAGTCGTCGACAGAAATCAATGAACGCATCATCCTACTGTACATAAAGAATATATCAGAAATCATGACAAGATTACTGTGACCACTTGGAATTGATGTAGCCACTCATAAACCAACAAATTCCCTCCAAACACTATTATGTAGACAAAAGGATGCAACAACCAAAGATCAAAGACAAACCGAATATCATTTACAAAATCAACTGCAATAACTATAGTCAACACTACATTGGACAAAGTGGCCGCCCTGTTCGCCTTCGTCTACATGAACACCTGCTAGCTATTAAACATCATGACATTTCATCATTCATTTCAACGCACGTGGATAACAACTATGGACATGAATTCAATTTCGACAATGTAGAAATCTTGAATGGAGAGAGGAAACACAAAGAATATCAGAGAATTCCTACAAGCCTGACATCCACGTCAGTCAGTCAGCAATCAATAATGTATAGACAGATCCAATCTACTAACCAGTGGGAGAAATGATAAACGACAGGAAGGTCAGAGGTCAAGGAGAGGAACAGCCAGTAGGGAAATATATACAGTCCGATGACACAACAATCAAAGGAAACAACCAATTACAAACCAGTTTGTAAGGGCAAGCTACTAAATCACTCACGGAGAGATATTGATTGCTCACTTGGCGGAGTTAGTGCTGATGATGTCGTCTAGAAGGAAGACGATGAAAGCTCCATGATTAAATAATCCAGCTCAGAGAACACAATACAACCAAGATTATTCACCTGAGCTACAAATATCCTACACCATTTCGAAAGAGTAAATCCAGGCATTTACCTACAACACCAGTCTCAATTTTATTACCTCTGCATCACTCACAACACAATGTGGATTGATTTCATATTACTATTATTATTACCGTTATTGTTATTATTATTATCATCATTATTATTACGATTGATTCCAATTTTATTTCGGTAAATCAATGAAAAGTTCGTTCACCCCCGATATATGAGGGGAACTGGCATACAAATGGCCTATTGTACTGATAAAAATCACCGGATGATTACAATATCACTGTTATAGTTTTGAAGCGCTAATGGTATATGTATGTATTCCGGAACGAATATAATACGCGCGCTTAGCTGACAGCTAACTTGATACGCAAGAGACACTGACTGCAACCCCTGGACGAATAGAGAGAACACCGAAGCTGGCAGATGGGAGAGTGTATTACTCCGAGAATATAACAATGAATCAATCCAAAACACGTGAATAAGTATGCACATGAAAAATGACCTTGTCCGCAATTGGAGAAATCACATGGTAAGAGTAAAAGTTAACCAATCAGCGAATTACATTACAATGGGAGCAGAAATAGACTATTAGTCATACCGTAAAAATAATGTGGGAATGACACGTTAAAATGCTCAGATCAATAACAATGTTTTATACAAAACTGGGGCATCACAACAGTCACCTATGTCCATTTTGTCTTAAATTTGTAATCAAGGTGAATAAGAATAGTAACACATACATACATACATACACAAACTAAGAGACATACAATTTCACACTGAATGATTAGTTTTATCATATTTTAGAAAGGCCATGACCACACAAAGACGATTGGACAAGGAGATTAAGTACAAGCCTTTGGATTCATTTATGTAACGATATTCTACTTTTGATTATTTCCCAGAAGAAGCTGGAAGCAGACTTCTGTGCAAAACATTGGAATAATTTCATTTCAAAGACACTTTGTGACTTCCACAAACATAAAATATATCAAACGTCGACTTTCTAGTTAGCGCCCAGTACTTGCCATACTATTCGGTCAAATGCTGATCATAGTTCATATCAATAATAATTCTCATTAATAGCAGTAGTAATAATAATAACCCAGCATCAGTAATAACAGTGCTACTAATAATAATAATCGTTACAATACTACTACTAATAGTGGCAGCAATAATAATAGTAATAATGGTAACAGGAAATCAGAGACCTAGTAGGACATAAATTAAAGTTTATGCGTAGGAGTATACAATATTCTCAATCATTGCTCAGACGAAAGCAAGTGGAATAGTCGGTCAGTCAGCACGAATATAGGACCTGGAATTACTATATGCCGGTTCAAGTTGCAACACGTCATATCAGTATATTGAGATGGGAGATGGCAGGACGAATAACAGGAAAATTAGGGACAAGTAGGTAAGAGGGTGACAGGAGTGAGATAATAATAAACTCGATGGGATTATTGAAATGGAGATAATAATAAGTGGATGACCCTGTGTCATTAAGATCGATTCAGAATTACCTCATCTAGTCTTCACTCACCATTTTCAGTTGTTACATGAAGCTCCAACGGGTAAGTCTGTGTCACCATACAGTTTGGAATAAACTCCAAATTCTTCATGGATTGATGTCACGTTTCACTCTGGTTGCCTTTGACGTTATTCTAACTTAAAAACCACTTCAGCCAATGGCATAACGAATGTCCCAGTCATCTAAGACCATGAAGGTTCACAAACTCATCTCTTTTACCTAAGACTCTACGCCCAACTTCAGCGGTACTCACAAGGTGGTTTCACAATACACGGTCTACGCTATGAAAGTTACCGTAGTCAAACTTTTGAAGCCTTCTCATGTCCTCAACCTTTAATAGCCGTGTCGAACTACAGTGCAGTGTATGATTCGCAATAGATAATCGGATACCACACCAGTGTCACAATGTAGCAGACGTCAATCGAGTCCTACATATTTACTATTCAAAGGTTTTGTCTATCACTGACCTACCAGGGTTGATCCGATGTCGCAAGCAAATGATCAACTCGTTGGACCACTCCGCTGCTGACTGTCGCACATATATATACAGAGAGAGAGAGAGAGAGAGTTTCAGAAAACGAAGCCATAAATAAACCAGTCCGATTTGTCGAATGGCATCGAATTTGTCCAATCAGATAATCATGTCAGCGCATGCATGAATCATGATCTGAAAACAATTTCTCTATTGGCTGCCTTTCTGTCGCTACTTTTCAGTTTATATGATGTTTCTTGCATTATCCCGTCGTTGATTCAACCGAATTGGTCAGTCTCCATTGTTATATGGGCTC